CTGTCTCAACTTTTGCAAACTATATTTAGTGTATATTTTACTATCCTATGTTTTTCTTATGTTTTTCCTTTTGATATTTCTCCTTAATTTAGTAGGCCTGGTCTGAGACTAGGCTTTGTGCACAGTTATTCCAAGAACCATTCATAGATACTTTTTGTGGGTTATCCTTCCTTTTAGGGTAGTGTGCGTTGCGTGTGTGTGCGCGCGCGCTCGTTGAGTAGTCAAGCTCAGTCTCCTAGTTCTTTCTCTTGACCTGTAGTCATTTGTTTCAATTTGTTCTAAATGCATTTGGATCTGTATTATCTACTTTTGTGTGTGTGCATCTAGTCCCTCTTCACAGAACATGCTTCATTTTTTCACTAGCTTTGCTTTAAAAAGTACTTGTACAAACACTCAAACCTGGCATCTTTAGGACTGAAATAGTATAGGTTTTTAGTCCATTTAAAAAAACTTTCATTACAAATATAGTGCATGGCAAATGATTATTTATGGTATTGCATACTAGATAACAATAAATGTCTCAATGCTGTGTCTTGAGCAATTCACTGTTAACCCACAATATGGAGAGGAATCTTGGATGATCTTTTGTTCAGCCCTGAATCCTCGTCAAGTAATGACTTAATGGTTTTGGACACGTTAAGTGTTGTCTTAAGCCCTCCTTAAATTGTGGGTTATAATGAATAAAATTTTATCACGGAATGTTTTTAGTTTTTTGTTTCATCTTATTTTAATCGTACCTTCAGTTAAAGCTACATATGAATAACCAAGAAAAGTTGAATGGGCTTGAGGGTGAACCTGCCAGACAGGTCTCTTCTATAATATCTGGTGTATGTCGTAGTTCAGGTACGGGCATTTTAAAAGAATTTATGGCAATTTGTTAGTAACTTTAGTTCTCTGCTCAGACTATTTCTTGAATACATCTTCAAGCTTTTGTTATTTTGTGTATTTTGGCATCTTATTAACAGTTGCTCAGTATGATACAAGCCATTGTTTTGATAGTGAAAATTTTCTGTCAGTCATCACATTTATTTTCATGTTTGGGATGTAACATTTTCTCCATTATTTTTCCATCAGTGATGGAGTAAGTCAATAGGCTATTATTGTTTGTTCTTAATATTTCTATTGTCAAACATCATATAACATATGCAGCACCCCCAAGACATAACTAGTGTCAACATATTTTCACTACTAGCAAGAGATTTATTTGGTAAGCCTCTTTGACATGATTACAGTTGGCATAATAAGTGAAAGCCATGGATAAAACTTGTATAGCAGAATGTCTGAAAAGTCTTGTGTAAAAAAAAAAAAAAAAAAAAAAAAAATGCAATTTCTTGGAAACTGGCAAAATAAACTGTCAATGCAGAGTAGGATGTAAGAGTCCTGATTTTGGGGAATTTACTCTGTGGTATAGTTTATAAAATTTTAATTGGGGAAGAGAGGCTATTTAGGGATTTTCAGGTTTTAGGGTTTATGCCTGTACTTTTTATCTTTGCAGGTCTTGTGTGTACCATGTGTGTTCTTTTGTTATGGCTCCCCTCCCCTCCCTTGCATGTCATTTTTTTCTCTAGCCTGTTAATACCTCTGGACCTCATATGTAGTTATCTTCCTTGATCCTATGTGCATGTGCACATTTTTTTGTTTATACACCTATGCACATATTCAAAAACATACTTATTAATTTGAATGAACTAATTAAGACCATTTTAAATTAATATTTAATGATGCATTTGGTGCTGGTTATTAATAGAATTGCATAGGGTTGTAAGATGACAAGCATTTTTGTTTTTCTTTGAAAGAATATTAATTTTGACTTACTATATTTAATGTAGAGTGACCCATCCTTACTCATAGTATAGCATTTTTGAGGTACTTTTTCTTAGACTTTGAAACTTGACATTGTATATTTCATATTGAAACTTACAACTGACCTTTGGACACACTCATATATTGCAAATTGTCAGATCATTTAGTTTAATGTTTACTAACTTGAGAGTCAAACAAATTATGTAGAAATAGTTTATGTATAACTATTGTTTAAAATTGGGTTTTGATTTGCTTGAAACAGAGATGATCAATAATATTCATAATGAGTTAGAAACATAAGATTCTGAATTGGAGAGATTGTTTTGAATCTGGGAAGTGACAATTTGGTTATAGATTCCCTGTTTGGGAAAAAGCGCAAATGTGTTGAGATTTTTCCCCCCTGGACTGGGCATAAGACTTCAGATTTGAATTATGTACTTGAATTTGTCTTCATTTTTTTACTTAATCCAAATAAATTTTAGCAAAATTCTTGTTGCATTAAGAAATCATTTATGAGTCGTTATTATCTGCAGAATTTCATGACCTATTTTGGATTTTGTTTAACCAGTGTCTTAACAGCAGAGTAAGGCATGCAGTTTAAGGAATTCTGATGCAAGAGTGCTTCCCAGCAAGACTTTGTTTGCATTAAATCATCCAGAATGTGGGATTTATCCCAACTCCGATGATCAACTGGCACTTGCCCAAAATTCAGTAAGCAGTAGCTCCACCCTCTCCACTACCATAGTGCAACATTTCCATATTAAAAGTATTTCCTCAGTTTAATAATAATAATATCATTAAGTGGTACAATCAAGAGAGGAATGAATAGACTTTACAATAATGTCATTTATTTTGTTAAACTTTTTCTTATGCCTATATTACAAGTTCATATTTTCAGGCTTTAACACAATTCCAATATTGATTAATATTTTTTATTTTAAATATTTCTTCAATTTAAGTTAATGAAAACTGAAAAATTCCTGAATTTTTACCTTAATTGCCATTTGGGCTATTCAGAGCTCATTTCAAATGCAAATATTAGTTTGTGATATATAATAAAAGACACTATAATTTTTATATTGACATAATATAGATAGTATTAATACAATACTTTAGTGTCAAAGGAGAATATTTATATATGCTGTGTGTTGTGGTGTTAGTGATCAAATATTTAGCTTTACATTTCAAGTGATGCTTTTATTGGAAGCTGCTAGCTAGTTAGTCAGTGTATGTATATTTAAGACTGATAATAATAGGGATTATTACTTATCAAACACTCCATATCAGTAGAGTTTCATGCTATTATTTCTCAACTTTTTGTTATGCTTTGTTTTGTTTTCAGGAAAATAAATAATTTTCTTTCAGGGAGTTTAAAGTATAAAAGAAGTCTTTCCAGGTCATATAAATTCTGTATGTATATATATGTATGTGTATATATATATATATATTATATATATATATTATATATATATTATATATTTATATATATTTATATATATTATATATATACACATAAACACACACACACACACATATATATATATAATATATATATATAATCTAATATAAATTATGCTCTATAATAATTTAGGTTGTAGGTTTTGATGTTGGTCAGGCTAGACTTTTTTTTTATTCTATTTTTTTCTATTACACACACTTTTAGTACAAATAATTGATAGATGAATTAACCTGATGTGTAATTGTTACTACAAATAAATATAAAATGATTTATGAAAGATTCTCATAAAAGGGGAAATACTTGAAAGCCATTTCATTCAAGTTGCATGTGTAATGTTAGCCAATAATGAGATGATTTAAATAAATGTAAGAGGAAAGTGAAGGGTTTTTTAGGCTTAAACCGTATTTAGCACAACGCACCAGCCTTATGAACCATGGAAGCAGTTTCGTGTGGAGCTGAACTGATGTAGACCCCAGGTGCAGCTTATATGAAGGCAGTGCGAGCGAGCCCACATGATACACAGCAGTGTGGGCTTGCTCGCATCCCTGCTGGTGACACATTGTTGATGTTGGGTCGCGCATTGCAGCCTCTTGCCGGTGCTGGCTGGAAGGTCCGGGTGGCCCCCTTGGTCGAGAGTCGCCCTCCACCTCCACTCCTACCATCACCACCACCCTCTCTATTTATTCTCTGCCCCAGAGCGGGATAAAGCCAAGCGCATGTAATATTTGGTACTGAGCCATCTCTTGCTACGTTTTTACTCAGTCAGTTGTCAATACAAACAGTTAATTTTGCACTCATGATCACTTACTTATCGTCAATACTACCAGTTCAGTTTGCACTCAAGATCACTTGCTGTATTTTTAAAATACTTAGTTACTGAATTGATAATAGAAATATCATCATGATGTAAGATGCTTTATGGAGTTTTCTTTTTCTGGAAGAATGTACTCACTGATTTGTGGAATATATTTTAGTCTTAAGTTGAAGAGACTCAGAATTGTAGTTGCTGATAGGTTGTGATGGAAAATAATTCTCAGCAGTCATTTGTTTCTTCACCCGTACAAAGATGTTTCTTTTTCTCTTGTAACCTTGTAGTCGATTTATTAGTCATTCAAACAGAGAGAGCAAACTTTCAATGCTGTGTGGCATTCTTTTTCTTATAGTGACATGTGCATTTGTTATATCTAACAATAGCCTCCCTGAAAGTTCATAAATTAAAAGCATTGAAAGTTTGTCATGTTTGATGTGTTTGTAATCCTGACCTACCGAGCCTTAGAATGTTATCTCAGAGCTCCTTTACTGTAATGATTTTATGCATGGTTGAATCAGAAAAGCTAACTTGTAAATACATTATTATTGCCAATGTACAACTCAAAAAAGAATTAGAAAATGTCAATTTTTCATGGAAAAAGTGAATTATACTTTTAAAAGAGCACAAAGTACCAACAACTATTATGAATCATTTTGTATCATAATACTCAATAGTTAGGGAAGGATGATGGTTCAAATCCCCATATTATCTGCACTTAAACAGTTTCCTTTTCAGAAATTCGCTTTCCTATAAGCTTGAGCATTTCCTTCCATACAGGATGTAGGTTATTTAGCAGTAATATGGAGATAATGAAAAATTAATAATTTATTTTTTCAGGTGGCAGATATATGTAGTTTAATTTAAAAAAAAAAAGTTCATAGCAATTATCGTGTCAATAACACAGTGCCTTGTTTCTCCCCAATTTAGATTAAGAAGGACTTCTTCACCATGCTTAAAGAGGCAGACATTGATCGCCATAGCCGGTGGTCTGATGTTAAACGTAAAGTTGATAATGATCCTAGATATAAAATTGTGGAATCTGGGGTTCAGCGTGAGGACTGGTTTCGTGATTATATGATTAAGGTAAGACTATCTGTTTTTTTATATTCAGAAAGACATTTATATGGGTAGTTCCTCAAACCATATGAAGTCATAAAAGTCAGAACTGCAAAAATTTTATTAAAAGTAAATTTTTTTTTTTTTAACAAGTCGCCCATCTCCCACTGAGGCAGGGTGACCCAAAGAGAAAGAAAATCCCCCAAAAGAAAATAATTTCATCATCATTCAACACTTTCACCTCACTCACACATAATCACTGTTTTTGCAGAGGTGCCCAGAATACAACAGTTTAGAAGTAGATACGTATAAAAATACACAATATATCTCTCCAAACTGCCAATATCCCAAACCCCTCCTTTAGAGTGCAGGCATTGTACTTCCCATTTCCAGGACTCAAGTCCGGTTATATAAAATAACCAGTTTCCCTGAATCCCTTCACTAAATATTACCCTGCTCACACTCCAACAGATCGTCAGGTCCCAAATACCACTTGTCTCCATTCACTCCTATCTAACACGCTCATGTACGCTTGCTGGAAGTCCAAACCCCTTGCCCACAACACCTCCTTTACCCCCCTCCCTCCAACCTTTTCGAGGACGACCCCTAACCCGCCTTCCTTCGCCTACAGATTTATACTCTCTCCATGTCATTCTACTTTGATCCATTCTCTCTAAATGACCAAACCACCTCAACAAACCCTCTCCAGCCCTCTGACTAATACTTTTATTAACTCCACACCTTCTCCTAATTTCCACACTCTGAATTTTGTGCATAATATTTACACCACACATTGCTCTTAGACAGGACATCTCCACTGCCTCCAACCGCCTCCTCACTGCAGCATTTACAACCCATGCTTCACACCCATATAAGAGTGTTGGTACTACTATACTTTCATACATTCCCTTCTTTGCCTCCATAGATAACATTTTTTGTCTCCACATATACCTCAATGCACCACTCACCTTTTTTTCTTCATCAATTCTATGATTAACCTCATCCTTCATAAATCCATCCGCTGACACGTCAACTCCCAAATATCTGAAAACATTCACTTCTTCCATACTACTCCTCCCCAATTTGATATCCAATTTTTCTTTAAATCATTTGATACTCTCATCACCTTACTCTTTTCTATGTTCACTTAAAATAAAGTTATAGTGAAGAATCTTCCTCTAGACATTGAATGGAGGTGCCCTAAAAATTATAAGTAATCATATTTTTTAGTATATGGCAATACTTTTGTCTAATGAAAATTGGCTATTTCAAAAGTGGTGTATTTGTCAGCATGATTATTGAATGCCTATTTGGTGTATTGAAGCATCTGTAGAGACACAGAAGTTTATAAAAAGAGGAATATACCAAAGTATAATGGTACCAGTAATGTTGCACTTAGGAAGTTGGAGGCAGGGGCAGTGTTTTTGAGGGCAACATGTATGGTGTGAATATTATGCAGAGAATTCAGAGATTGGAAATTAGAAAATGGTGTAGGTTACCAAAAATTTTATTCAGAGGGCTGAGAAGGGGTTGTTGAGATGGTTTGGGCATCTAGAGAGGATGGAACAAATTAGGATACTAGGAAGGTGGGCAAATCTGTGATGGAAGGAAGGAGGGACTAGGGGTCATCCTAGGAAAGGTTGGAGGGAGTGGGTAAAGGAAGTTTTGATTTCTAGGGGCTTGGGAATTTGCCAAGTTTATTCAAGTGCATTAGATAAGAGTGGCTGCAAGTGGTTATTATGACTTGATATGCTGTTGGAGTTCAATCAAGGTAACATTGACAAAGTAAGTCAGGGAGAAACCAGTCACAGACAAAAGAGTCCTGTAGGTGGAAAATAGTGTCTGCACTCTGAAGGAGTGGAGATATTGCAGCTCAGAGGGCAATCTGAACTGTAAGGCTAGCATGCTTCTGGCAAGACAGTGATTGAATGAGAGTTAGGGATTGATGTTATTACCTTTTACTGAGCCACCCTACCACAGTAAGGGATGAGCAGTTTGTTAAAAAAAAATGTTGGTTATTGGATGTAATTTTGTTTAATGTTTCAGATTAAAGAAGAACGAAGACGTTCTCGTGATCGTTCAAGGACCCGTGATAGGGATAGGGAAAGGGAACGTGACAGAGATCGGGAGCGAGACAGAGAACGCCCTGAACGAGATCGGGATCGTGGTGAGAGGGAGCGTGAGAGAGAGCGAGGAGAAAAGGAAAGGGAAAGAAGAAGCAGAGAGTCCCGTGACCGTAGCAAGGAACGAGAGAGGTCTGATCGTAAAGAAAAGAAGAAGGAAAAGAAGGATAAAGAGAGAGAGAAAGAGAAGGACAAAGAGAGGGACCGAGAAGAAAAGAAAGAAAAAGATAAAGATAAGGACAAAGATCGAGAGAAGGATGATTTGGAAGCTATTCAAGACATGGGGGAGGATATGGAGGACACTCATAAGAGCGAGGTTAGGGGAACAAAGTTGGCTAGCATGGTATGGATTTTGATTAGTAATCTGTAGGATATTCATGGCTATACTGCACAGATACTGAATCTAAGGCAAAATTTATGTAAGATTTAATTAATATTAAGTAGTTTACACATTCCTAATGTTCTGCATGAAATTTTCAAATTATTTATATTAGAAATCTATTGAGTATTGCCTTTATTTTGTAATGTACATCGTAGGAAATAAATAACCAAGACCCATATTTCTCTAATAAGGGTGAAGATACAGGTAGTGATGGGCCTGATGAAGAGCGTGAGGATGGGGAAGCGAATGAAGCAGCTGAGGAAGAGGAGCGGGAAAGGCAAAGGAGGATTGAGGAGTCCTTGAGGAAGAGAGAAGAGGAGGTTCAGAGGGCTCTTGCAGGACATCTTCGAGATCGTGATAAGGAGCGTATGCAGCACAAGCATGATGAAGCCGTTCATAATTTTAATGCATTATTAGCAGATTTGGTAAGGTTGTTTTATTTGGAATGTTAATTTATTTTCTTTATGACTTCAATAAGTTAGCTAGTGTAATATTATCTGGTAGTGTTTTAGCTTGATCATTTCCTAGTTTTTTGTAAATGGGAAGAATGTAACTTTGATTGAATGCTTTCTTTTCTTGCTGATGAAAAGGATTATTTATTTCTATATTTTACTTATGCTTGGATCTTGTATAAAAAAGCAAAGTACATATATCATTTCAGGTGCGAAGCACTGATTACACTTGGAAAGAAGCAAAAAAATCACTTAAGAAAGACTCGCGCTGGGAATCTGCTGGAGCCTTAGAGCGTGAAGAGAAGGAGAAGTTATTTAATAATCATGTGGAAAATCTAACAAAGCGCAAGCGAGAAAAGTTCAGGTGAGATAGTCCTTAATTTGTTCTTGTATGGTAATAAATTTCTGATTTTATGTTGTACAGCAGCTATGCAAACCATGAAATGCAAACCTATTCTTTGACCAATGGAAGTTCAAAAGAAAAAAGTAACTGTCTCTTTGAATTTGAGTAGGGTGAGTTCCAGGTCTGGTCATACTTCTTAACCTTTGACTGCTGCAGTAGAGCTTTGCCATATCTAATATTTGAACCCCTGTATGGTATTGTGAGTTTCTTTCTTAATGTTTATGAAATATAGGTCTAAATGATGCATGTAAATTATTTATGGGGTATGTAATGAATTTTTTGTTTAAATATAAAGGAGACAACTTAACATGGGGCTATTAAAATTAAGATTTGCATGTAGAGTGAACTACCACATTTCATGTTGGTGAACTCTTTCGGTGGCAATCACGTAGATCTGTTATTGATGCCAAAGTCTCTCACATCACCCTCAGATAAGGTGTGACTAAATTTTCACCTAGAAATGAGAGATTACATCTATGCAGTGGGTGTGCATAGTATAAGTAAAATCCTGCCCCACACAATCTATGATGGTAAAAGGAAAACTCGAAACTCTGTATGGCATTGCATTTCACACCCTTGAAACTAGTGATCCTGCTGCTACCTGGTGGGCCTAGTTCAACGTAGACCTTGGTGTAAGAAACACTGGTTCACTCGCACTGACCAGACAAACTCAGCAAAGGTCAGATGTTCTCTTCTGCCCACTCTTTCTGGGCTTCAGCTTGGCTTGGGGCTGTCAACAACCACACTGCCTATACCATATACCCAAATAAACCTAAGGCTACTTTGAGGCCAATTTCAAACAACTTTGTCCTGGAACCATCCAAAATCATCTCTTTCAGTAGTATGTCTTCTATTCAATCAAATAATACTGAGAAATAGCAATTAAAACCATAAAGAACAAAAAGGCACAATACCATGGCTGGAACAGTACACAAATAACTTGAACATAGGGGAAAGAAACTGTGTGTGATTAATGGTCCAAGACAGACCAAAACGTCATCACAAGTTTTTCTCTTGTGTACAAGTTATTTTTTTTTTTTTTTCAAGAAGTCGGCCGTCTCCCACCGAGGCAGGGTGACCCAAAAAAAAAGAAAGAAAATACTTTCATCATTCAACACTTTCACCACACTCACACATTATCACTGTTTTTGCAGAGGTGCTTGGAATACAACAGTTTAGAAGCATATACGTATAAAGATACACAACATATCCCTCCAAACTGCCAATATCCCAAACCCCTCCTTTAAAGTGCAGGCATTGTACTTCCCATTTCCAGGACTCAAGTCCGACTATATGAAAATAACCGGTTTCCCTGAATCCCTTCACTAAATATTACCCTGCTCACACTCCAACAGATCGTCAGGTCCCAAGTACCATTCGTCTCCATTCACTCCTATCTAACACGCTCACGCACGCTTGCTGGAAGTCCAAGCCCCTCGCCCACAAAACCTCCTTTACCCCCTCTCTCCAACCCTTTCAAGGATGACCCCTACCCCACCTTTCTTCCCCTATAGATTTATATGCTTTACATGTCATTCTACTTTGATCCATTCTCTCTAAATGACCAAACCACCTCAACAACCCCTCTTCAGCTCTCTGACTAATACTTTTATTAACTCCACACCTTTTCCTAATTTCCACACTCCGAATTTTCTGCATAATATTTACACCACACATTGCCCTTAAACAGGACATCTCCACTGCCTCCAACCGTCTCCTCGCTGCTGCATTTACCACCCAAGCTTCACACCCATATAAGAGTGTTGGTACTACTATACTTTCATACATTCCCTTCTTTGCCTCCATAGATAACATTTTTTGACTCCACATATACCTCAACACACCACTCACCTTTTTTCCCTCATCAATTCTATGATTAACCTCATGTTAATCATTAAAAACCATCCTAGAAAATGCCTCAATGATGCTATTTTCAAGAAACGCAAGGTCAGAGTTATGCTTTTCCCATCGTGCACACATGGGGCAGTATTTAGTTTTATTTATGCATACACTGCACAAACCCATTCTCTCATACCTAGGTCAAAATTTACAGTTCTTGGCTTATCTGGGTGAGCTAAGCTCAAGACATAGATCTTTGTGAGGAACCCTGGTGTCATTAACATAACAGTGTAACTGAACATACCAATAACCCCGAAATTTTTACGAGGCATAGTTTTGTGTTTAAACTTCTTGGCACCTTTGGTATCTTTTTTGAGATACCATTATTAATAACCAGACAGCTGATGCAGCGATGAAAAGATTAAAAAAAAAAATCTGCCTCTGTGGAGGGAAATATCCCACCAGCGCAAATGGTCATTTCCAGTGAAACGTGGTAATGGGAAATGAAATTCAATCATGATGCATTGGTGACTTGGCACCTTGAAATGTGGTTGCCTACCATACTTAATTAAGCTTTTCTTAATGAATGAAACTTCATTGTACAGCATGTTTAAGAATTCTCTCTGTCCTTAAAGGTGTTTCACTTATGTTGACTTGTGCTATAAGTAATCATAGATAACTGTACTTAATACAGTGTTCCCTTGAGTTACGATTCACTCTCAGAGCAATTTACTTTTGAATTATCATGAAAAATTTGAGAAATTATTTGTCTATGATGACATGACTCTTGTGGGTTGCATCTTGGCAAGCAAAATTAACCCAAGCTGCCTGAAGTGCTCTGCATAACCAGAGACTTTATACAGTAGCATGCCAATGATGTCATGCAGATCTGTAATAGTTGTATTATGTACTTGTAGGATTATTATTATATTTTTATGGTTGGTATGCATGGGTGGGCCTCAGCCAACCAGCTCAAATTATGCCCTCTTGGGCATAATTTGAGCCAGTAGGAGCATCAGTTCGTGTTTGGGTGGGCCTTAGCCAACCAGCGATGCAGTAGCTTGCCTCTTGGACAACATCTGAGCCGATAGGAATGAAGGGTGGCGTAGTAGCCAATCAACAATGGGGTTGAATGTGTGTATGGTAGCATCTCAGCCAGTAGCATACTTTGTACCATACTTCAACTTAAAGTTACCATATACTTTTCACACTGACTCTGGATTATTTACCCTTCATAACTGCATTTGTATTCTAATTAAATTTTCTTTTGTAATACCTAGTCATGGCCCCTGAAGTACACAGTAAACAGGCAATTTTTCTGAGGCTCAGGCAAGAAATTGTGCATTGATGCATGATTATGGCTTTCTACAAACAACATTGCAGAAGAAAAAAAAAAGCGAAAGCGGCTTACGAATGTAAGCTAGTGAAAAAAGCAGAGAAATTATCATAGAGATGAAAAGACTGTTGTAATTTTGGATAGGAGAGAAGCAGATGAAGGGAAAACAATGCTTCCAATTTATATCTGAGTGTGTGCAAGGTACAGTAAAAATTGCACTTCCGGGTTTTTTGAAAGAATTACTGTAAAATTATGTGTTTTGGTGTCTGTGTTGTGACAGTTTTGAGGTAAGATGCATCTTCTGGAATGTATTAATATCGTAACTCAAGGGACCACTGTATTTCTGTATGCTGCGTGTGCATATTTACTCAGTTTAAATTCTCCTTTCATTTTATTAGAGAACTTCTGGAAGAATTACCAGAGGTGAACTTGGACTCAAATTGGAAAGATCTGAAAAAAGAACTTAAGGATGATCCACGGTATACAAAATTTTCATCATCTGATAAGAAGTGCGAGAGGGAGTTTCGTGAATACTTAAAAGATAAACTGGTAGCAGCTAAAGCTGACTTCAGGGAACTGCTTAAAGTGAGTTAAATGTCACATAAAAATTATTCTGTTTTATCATGATTATTAGTAATAGATTTAAGATTTCATTATTAGCAGTAGTAAAGATATTATTTGTAGTAGGTTAAGGTATTTGTAAATCTAAAGATGTGCAGTAAAAAAGCTACTTTCATGTTTAGTGGATGATAACTTAGCACTTGCCAAGCTATGCTGAACTGTCCTTATTCTGTAGCTATGACACCCCAGGTGCATGTGTGTGCATTTTATAAGTGATAATGTACTTGCCCATTTGTGGTTGAAGGCATCAGTTCATGGATCCTTGCCCTGCCTATTAATTTGCCACTCTGGATACATTTTCTCTCAGGCTCATTGTCCCTATTGTACTTGCTTTCAAGGCTATGTATGGAGCTACTTCCACCACTTCCTCACCCAGATTATTCCACTTCCTGACCACCCTGAGACTTAAGAAATTCTTCCTGACCCCTGCATCTCAGATGTGTCAAATTCCTACTTCTCTCTAAACATCCTCTTCCTATCTACCCTGTCAATTTCCTCTTGAGTATTTTTTGTTTATCAGCATGTCTTCCCTGGTTCTTCTGTCCTTCGATAGATTGTTTAGTTAAGTAATCCTAATAGCTCATGCCCCTCAACTCAGGAACAAGCCTCATTGCATATTTTTCTGTACTTCTCCAGTTTCTTAACTTGCCTCTTTAGGTGTGGGTTCTATACTGATGCTGCATACTCCAAGATGGGCCAACAAATGTATATACAGTAGACTGTCGATGAAAAGATAGTCTGTTAGTACGTTTTCAAATATGAAATGCCACAGGAGCTCTCTTTCCCCCTTCCTGGGCCAGCATATGGGTTAAACCATTGTCTTTGCAAGAGAGACCTAATCATATTTAATGTACACAGGCTCTCATGCCACAGCTCTCTCTGCATTCAAGTCCTATCCCATACTCGGCTCTGTGTTAGTGAATTATTTTTTTATCTTTTCATCATCATATCTCATGTCTGGATAGTAACCATGGCACAAGTCAAATGCAAGTGATGCTTGAAATGCCAAGATGTTTATGCATGAATATCTGGTGTTTTGAAGAAAAATGAGATGCTAGGTATGCTTAAAAGTGGTGCATATGTGATAAAGATGGCTTGAGCCTGTGGTCTCTATGAAGCATCAGTATGTTCAGTTAAAAGGAATGAGAAGATAAGAGCTCATGCAGTGAATCGCTCAGGCTGTGACCCTCAGAAAAGAATGACCCATAAATCAAAACACCTAAATAAGAAAGAAAAATTGAGAGAGTGGATTGAGCTGAAAACCAAGGAAGGTGCACTACTTAATTTCATATTAAGAGAATAAGATTTTGAGTACTATAAAACTGTGTGATGAAGGAAAGCCTGAACAAGAGTGCATCATAATCCTCATTTTTGGCATCATTACTTTCAGAAAAAGATTGTCTGCCATTTCAGAGGGATTTTTTTTTTTTTTTAATATCAACAGTCCAAGCATTTTTAATTTCTGGGCTTCTGGCAGTGAAGGGGTTAAAGCAGACGTAAGGTTAGAGGTTTGCTTTTCCCATCATGCACTGCATGGGGTAGGATTTTTTTTTACTCACCACAGACCCATTCTCTCATGTCTAGGGCTATCCTGAGACTTGAAAATTTCTAAGTGATGGTAACAGTGCCACGATCACAATTGCAAAGAAAATGATAGTATACATAATGAGAACGTTCAAAACGAGAAATGCCAAGCCAATGATGATCCTTTTCAAATCACTTGTTCTCTCTAGGAATACTGCTGGAATACTGCTGTGCATTAACATCTCCATTCAAAGCAGGTGAAATTGCAGATCTAGAGAGTGTACAGAGATCCTTTACTGCACGTATAAGTTCTGTCAAGCACCTTAACTACTGGGAACGCTTGGAAGCACTTGACTTGTACTCGTTGGAACGCAGGAGGGAGAGAGATATCATAATCTACACTTGGAAAATCTTGGAAGGAATGGTCCCAAATCTGCACACAGAAATCACTCCCTACGAAAGTAAAAGACTGGGCAGGCGATGCAAAATGCCTCCAATACAAAGTAGGGGCGCCATTGGTACACTAAGGGAAAACACCATAAGTGTCCGGGGCCCATGACTGTTCAACAGCCTCCCATCAAGCATTAGGGGAATTACCAATAAACCCCTGGCTGCCTTCAAGAGAGAGCTGGACAGATACCTAAAGTCAGTGCTGGATCAGCCGGGCTGTGGCTCGTACGTTGGACTGCGTGCGGCCAGCAGTAACAACCTGGTTGATCAGTCCCTGATCCACCGGGAGGCCTGGTCATGGACCGGGCCGCGGGGGCGTTGATCCCCGGAATAACCTCCAGGTAACTCAAGCTATGGCTTGCAACTGATGAACCCTTATTAGAATACCTGACTCACTGGAGTCTCCAGCTCAGGCTCTGATTTCAACATCTTTTATGAGTCTCATCCTGTGTGATGGAATATAGCAGGAAAACAGTAATTGTTATTATTGTGTAATTGTCATATAGTGAAGGATAATAGCATATTGCTAATGTATCCAGTTTTGTTAAAAAAAAAAAATTACTGTAGCTCAGCAGTTTAAGCATATGCTGCACAGTGTGTGTTCTGGGGGCCCAGTTTTAGTTAACACAAATCAGAATTTGAATGTTGCTGGTTCTTATGGTCTGGATGTTTTGAAATGTCCTCTATGACTCATGGGGGGGGGGGGGCGATAATTCATGGAACTATATCATATAATAGTGAGCGTATTTGATAGGAGTGAATGGAGACAAATAGAAACCAGCAGGCAGGACTTGAGTCCTGGAGATGGGAAGTACAGTGTCTGCACTCTGGAGGAGGGGTGTTAATGTTGCAGTTTTATAAACTGTGAAGCATCCCTCTGGCAAGACAGTGATGGAGTGAATGATGAAAGTTTTTCTTTTTCGGGCCACCCTGCCTTGGTGGGAATCAGCCGATGTGTTAAAAAAAAAAAAAAAGATGTACCCTGGCAAGTGTGTTTATTGATTATGAAAAAGCAAATGATATACTCACCATGCTAAATTCTGTGACATAATCACCTAATCTCAATGTATCAGTGCATGCATAATGCTGGTTCGTATTTTGCTTATGATGTTTGTGTTTATCTACCGGTAGTGTAATTTCTCTAGTTGACTGAAGAGACATTAACTCTTTCACTGTCAGTCTTCTAATATTACGGCTTGCAAGCCATTGTTGGTCTGGTAATGTTATGCCAAAATTCTAGTGGCTTCAAATCTTGCAGGAGAAGGCTGGTAGACCTACATGTGAGAGAATGTCCAGTGTGCGCAGTATAAAAAATCCTGCAGCACGCAGTGCATAACGAGAAAAAACACTCCGATAGTTTTTTATTTAAAACACTGACTTTGCTGTATATTTTTGTATGGTATTTATGGTTGTATCCTCGTTTTCTTAGTCTTGTTTGATAGAATGGAAGATATATTACTAAAATAGAGATGTTGTTGAATGGTTTACACTCTAAAAGTACCTTGAAATTGAGCTCAAAGAAGCGGAAATGTTCAATTTTTGCCAATGTTGGAGTAAACAAATCACGTCATGCATCCATTACCCATCAACTGGTGGATCTAATATGCTTTCACAAATGCACTGATATTATTTATACCATTTTCACAATACTGCAGTACTCTGCATAACAGTAAATCTTCTATTTTTTGTGTGAATAAAAATTCAAAATGGAAAGCAAGCTTAATATAAGAGGGGCCTGGAGATGTGACTAATGAACAGAAAAAAATGTTACTTTAGTGCTAGGAATGTTTGTTTTGTTAATTTGAGACCCTATTGCTGGTTTCTTTTTCTGTTTCATAAACACGCTAGATAACAGGGATATCTTGCTACTCCTACTTACACTTTGGTCACACTTCACAGACACGCACATGCATATATATATATACATACATCTAGGTTTTTCTCCTTTTTCTAAATAGCTCTTGTTCTTCTTTATTTCTTCTATTGTCCATGGGGAAGTGGAAAAGAATCTTTCCTCCGTAAGCCATGCGTGTCATATGAGGCGACTAAAATGCCGGGAGCAATGGGCTAGTAACCCCTTCTCCTGTAGACATTTACTAAAAAAGAGAAGAAGAAAAACTTTATAAAACTGAGATGCTTGAATGTGCGTGGATGTAGTGAGGATGACAAACAGATGATTGCTGATGTTATGAATGAAAAGAAGTTGGATGTCCTGGCCCTAAGCGAAACAAAGCTGAAGGGGGTAGGGGAGTTTCAGTGGGGGGAAATAAATGGGATTAAATCTGGAGTATCTGAGAGAGTTAGAGCAAAGGAAGGGGTAGCAGTAATGTTGAAGGATCAGTTATGGAAGGAGAAAAGAGAATATGAATGTGTAAATTCAAGAATTATGTGGATTAAAGTATAGGTTGGATGCGAAAAGTGGGTCATAATAAGTGTGTATGCACCTGGAGAAGAGAGGAATGTAGAGGAGAGAGAGAGAGATTTTGGATGTTAAGTGAATGTATAGGAGCCTTTGAACCAAGTGAGAGGGTAATTGTGGTAGGGGACCTGAATGCTAAAGTAAGAGAAACTTTTAGAGAGGGTGTGGTAGGTAAGTTTGGGGTGCCAGGTGTAAATGAAAATGGGAGCCCTTTGATTGAACTTTGTATAGAAAGGGGTTTAGTTATAGGTAATACATATTTTAAGAAAAAGAGGATAAATAAGTATACAAGATATGATGTAGGGCAAAATGACAGTAGTTTGTTGGATTATGTATTGGTAGATAAAAAGACTGTTGAGTAGACTTCAGGATGTACATGTTTATAGAGGGGCCACAGATATATCAGATCACTTTCTAGTTGTAGCTACACTGAGAGTAAAAGGTAGATGGGATACAAGGAGAATAGAAGCATCAGGGAAGAGAGAGGTGAAGGTTTATAAACTAAAAGAGGAGGCAGTTAGGGTAAGATATAAACAGCTATTGGAGGATAGATGGGCTAATGAGAGCATAG